CCCTAACCCTAGTGGTAAGGGCTACCACTTAGGGTTAGGGCTGGAAGTTAGGGTTAAGTGGGGCAGCGTGGTAAAGGGAAGCTGCTCCCACCTGGCAGGGCCGTGTAGGGTCGACACTAGACCCGGCCAGGTTGTTTGAGTGCATGTTTATGGTGGCGAGACACAAGGTGGGACTTCGTGATGCAATTTGAGAGAGGCGACAGTGAAGGGCACCTACAACTTGAATCTGGACTTCAGGGAAGACAAGGRGTGACYTTAGGGCTCCCCTCAAGTAGGCGAGCTTGAGGGTGGCAGCCATATCYSMACCTACGGACTGCAAGTTGYTGCTTTGATCTTCAAYATTGACGGGGGATCCGGCTTTGTASTTTGGGGTAGATGTTGACCCTCCTAGATGATAGGACACTAGTGTAGAGGATGCTAATTGGGTCAGGAGGACTRTGTGAGAGGGGGGTGAGTTCTTTTCATCTCAAGAGCCCGGYCACTCAGGTAAGTGTCGTGCCACCAGGGTGCCCATGTGTGTGAGCATGGAATTGACTGCCTGTTGGGGTTCTCTGGGTTCTTCTTCCATCCTCCATAGTCTTGGTTGTGTGTGAGGTGTGTGAACTGCCTACTCACCTGATGAGTGAATGAATGGAGTATCTTGTTTGCTATGTGATATCTCTCTACAGTGCTTTGTTTATTTCATTCTGAACGGCGGTAGTCTACAGGTTCTTTCTGGGGCAAAATTTCGTTTTTCAATTCAAGTAGGGACAGAGTAGGTCTCTGTGGAACTCTTGTTGGTTGGGACCTGGTTCTGACTCCATTGGGACCATTTGGGACTCAGTGGGACCGGGCCCAAACAAGAAGGGCCCCTCAGGCCAAATCTGTTGACGTCAGTTACCTTGCTCTATCTGATTGGGACACGGACTTTATGCTTTYGGACYAGGACACTCGCTGCGGAGGGGATCTCCRCTGGGACRTTTTATCAGACTTTACCGCACAATCCGCCGCCTGACTCGCACCTTATACACCACTCAATTCTCTCTTGCATTTCGCTGTACATCTTGAATCTGATTTGCTGTGTTTTCACGGCGCTGAGGCTGGCTAGGCTTGGGAGGACCCCATACGTAGTCAGTCCAGACTGTGTGGTTGGATCAGATATCTCTGATCTTTTCTTTTTTTTGTTGTTTTGACTGCTCTCCAGTCCAAATGAATTGCCGCTCCGGCTAGGAGTTCTACCTTCTCTTCTGAGTGATTTCAAGTTGTTTCTTTCATTGGGTTCATTAATGCCTGCGTCTACACGGTCGCAAACGAGAGAGAGAGAGAGAAGAGAGAAGTTATTGAGTGTTGCTCTTGAGGGAGTGAGGAGAGGGAAGAGGAGTGTTCGTCACAACGCTGAGAGGAAGTACGGACCCCTCTTGAGAGTCTTACTGACACCCTCATCCTCCATCATGGCATCTGCAGCAGATTGGAAACTGCAGATGGACGCTGCCCCTGAGGCAGAAAAACCGCAGTATCAGTTCTTCTACGAGAAAGCCTTGAAGAGGGAGGAGGAAGAGAAAGAGAGAGAGAGAAGGGATAAGGTGCAGGCTCACGAGGCCGTCCTTAGCACCGTGTCCGCTCTGACTGATGAGGAGGTAGAAGAGAAAATGGTTCCCCTCCTCAAAGCCTTAGCAGGGGTCCAGGTTGCTGAGGACCATACTGGCCAACTCGCATAGGTGTTTAAGCAGCTCAAGGAGTTGCGCGAAGACATGGCCAAGATGGCGCAGCAGCACCGCGATCAGCTGCAACAGTTTGCTAGTTCGCAGCAGGCTCAAATCGTCTCTTCACTCACCTACCCTGCCTCCAATGTTGCGTGTCAGTCCAGTTTTGCCCCTCTGACTACGTCTACTTCTTCTCCTTCTACTTCTTCTTTTTCTTTGAGTGTGGTTAACAGCCAAAGCGGATCTGCAGCAAGTCCAGACCCCGCTGCTGCTGCTGCTGCAGCGGCAAGTGGTGGTGAAGGGACTTCTGGAACTGTTGCAGCCCCGGGCCCGGACCCAGCAATGGCTGGGCCAGGCGGCAACTTTGCTTTCATCGACAGGAAGGCGGCGCAGATTCCGTCCAAGTACGACGGAAAGGACGACATCGAGTCTTGGATCAGCTCTATGCGGTCCTACTTTTATGTATTCGGGACACCCCCGTCCACTCAGTCGTCTATTCTGGGGACCAATGTGGAGCCCGTCGTGTGGGGTTTCCTAGAAACCCAAGCTGTCCAATCAGGCTATAAGAGAATAGACCTGAACAACTGGCTGAAGGCTACGCCTACTACCGCACTTGAGGATCTCTTGATCAAGCAATATGCTGATCCACATGCTGCAGCTAAAGCAAGACTCAAGCTTGACAAGCTGAAGCACAGCAAGTGGACCGGCACCATGCACAGTCTGCAGCAGTACGTCAGTAAACTCTTTGCTACTCCGGATCTGGAGATGACTGCGCAGTCTTGTTTGGATGTGATAAAAGGTACGGTCCCCTCTACTCTAAAAGATCGCCTAGGGCTCGGGCTCAGCGGATACACAGATTGGCTTACCCTCATGCGGGACTTAGTCAAACTGGAGGCACAAGACCTCCCGGGTGGATCTAGTGGCAAAAAGGCCACCAGCCACAAACGGTTTCCAGGCAGCAACCGTTTTGCAGCACATGATCTGCTTGAGGCTAACGAGGAGACCCTCATGGATGAATCTTCTCTTGATGACGATCAAGAGCAAGACTGCAGGGCATCTTGCTCTTTGTCAGCCCATGAGTCTGAGTGTATAAATGACGATGAATCTATGAATGCCTTTAAAAAGACTGCCTTCAAGAGTAAGGGACCGAGGACCACGATGAAGAACAACACTAACACTATCCTTCTTCCCAAGGGAGCAAAGATTCCACCAAAACCGGAAGATCTTGCCACAAAACCATAGGTAGATCTTCGGATGAGTGAAAGTGAGTGGAAGAACAGGGCGAAGAGAGGAGTTTGCCTGCATTGCACCAAACCGGGACACTCAGTCCAACACTGTTTCAGATTGCAGCAGGGAAACCAGCAACGGGGGTAGAGGCATCATCAGCACACTCTACTGATGGAGAGGCTTAACATGTAAGTACAGATTCTTCTTTGGATTCTGATCCCACTCAGCAAACCTCTCCTGAAACCCCATCTGATGCTGATTCCAAGGTTGAGAAGATCCATATCCTTTACAAGGAGCCTTGGGCAGAGTCGGAAGAAATTGACTTTCATTCTTTGTTGATGCGCTGGGCTCACATGAAGCAAGAACGCGCGCAAGGGAGAACGAAGTTGATCTTCTTCAAACTCTACATTAATGGCCGTTACATCCGTGCGTTGGCTGATTGTGGTGCAACCGCCAACT